GGCTGGGGATTCAAACCCGCCACCTTAGGTGTATGTGGCTGGCACCTTAGCCGCTTGAGCCACAGGCGCCAAGCCGTTAGTTTTCAATATTAAAGAAAAGCCATGATTAAGGGTGAGTACAATTTTCACATGAATTGTTTGGATAAGACACAAAGACTTCAAATAAACTTCTTGATTAGGCTTGGCACCTGTGGCTCAAGTGGCTAAAGCACCAGCCACGTATACCTAAGGCAGCAGGTTCGAATCCAGCCCAGGCCCGCCAAACAACAATGATGGCTGCAACCAAAAAATGGCCTTGTGGCCATCCAGCAATTTCACCTGTGTTCCCACCAGACTGGTACCATGTATGTGTTAAATAAATTAAAGGTTGTCTTTACTCTAGAGACTGGTAGGCCTTCCAGGTTAACTGTTAGGTAGTTTCATGCTCTCAACAGAATTAGTCCTGAACTCAAAGAAGCTGACAGCAACTACAGAGTGATCAGAAAAGACACTGCTAGCCACGTAATTTGCGATGGTAAACTGCAAGGGATGACCATCAATAAGCATATTTAGAGAACAAAATCCCAATAAAAAGACCGTTATTACCTAGTTACTTAAAACTCACGGCTCTTTCAAAAGTACAAAGTGAGACACTTTTGTTGATAAGAAATATACATTAAGTCAAAGAAGTGATGCATACATTTTTTCCAGAACAATAGTTGAGACCAGTTCTGGCCAGAATCATGGTGCAGAAATGAGGTTAGAGTTACACAATCTACAAATATACGAATCAACAAAACTATTTTGTAAAAATTAACAAATAACAACTTCAAAAAGTGATTTCTACAATGACAATAGGGTATATCCTTCCCAGATAACTTTATAAAACATTTTACTACGTGAACACAAGCACGCTCATGTGCCACTGTGTCTGTAAACTTGTGCTGAAACCAGAGAACTGTGGTGTCTGTTACATCTCATTAACTTGGGACAATCTCTAGACCTAAACCATCGAGGGGATAAAAACCTACTAACGTTATGAGGCGGCATAAATGGGTATGTTCAAGGAAACCTGGGTCTTAACAGAAGCCTTTGTTTAAATTTAACTAAATTATGTCAACAGGCTGGCAATATTACCATTCATTCTTAATAAAACCAACCAGATCAAATGACGAGAAACTAAAATAGCACTGGGAGGCAGAGTCCTGAAAGATGCATGAGGAAAAGGGGAGCAGAGCATCGGTTTCGACAGGTCGCAGTTCTGAATAACCTTTCTAAATCACCAAAAAGGACTGATACGTGCCCCTAAAAACATGGATGCTAAACCCAAGGTTTGTATTTTGTTCCTAAAATGACAGATGATAGCTCTTAGAAAGACAAAGGAAAAAGTATGTGAGTTAGATCCTTCCAGGTGACATAGTAATACAACTCCCAATATGGGGGGCGAGAGGGTTATTGAAGACAAAGCATACATTTCTTTATGAACTCACAGCTATTTTATCATAAAAAAGGCAGCAGTGAGAACTGGTAGAGGCCGTCCTACCTGTGCTTCTTGATGCCATTGGAGAGAGCATCTCCACCACCACAATCTTTTCCTTCAGACATTCTGTGTCTTCCACTGCTCAAATGCTCTCCTTCCTCTTCAAAGGAATGTGCTGTAACTGCTTCCAATCTACTCAGGGACTGCTCGGACTCGGAATCTGTGGCAGAGCGGGTTCATAGTTAATGCATTGAACTTGGGCACGAGGCTTCAGTAACAATGGATACCTCCCTTAATGCACCTGGCTTTGAAACTTAAGCAGCCTACTTTGTCCTTCAACAATCCATCCGTTAACTACTCCCTCAGGGATTTCAGAGAACCTGGACCCAAGAAGGCTAACATGGATTTATGAAACAGATGTACGCTTATATAAGCTTTCAATTAAGCAGATCCTATAGAGGAAAAGCGATCTCCTGAGATTACCTAATTCCTCAAGAAATCATTTTCATCTGTTGCCCCCCAAATTTCCATCTCTGTCTTCCACCATTCCATTTTTTTAACCACAAATAATGAAAAGGCTATGGCAGCTGTCTTTATGAGAAGTTTAAACTATATCCACTACAACAGACACAAATGGGAAGGTAATTTTAAAATATTTTTTAAAATACTTGGTCCAGTATGATACCATTTAATTCCTCAAAGCTAAATCCTAAAGTGTCCATATACTAACTGTCAGGCAGGGATCCTGAAGATGGAAATGCCACGTTCCCAAGTGGCTACTTGTTCAGTGTGGTGTCACCTTCCTGTTCGGAATAGTAAGGCACTCATTTTTGTCTGACACTCTACATTTGCAGGCACTTTTGCATTCTTCATCTCTTTTAAGCAACTTCAGGATGCTTTGGTGAAAGGGAGGCAGGACTATGTGGTTATTAACAAAAGTGCTCATGGTCTCCAGGCTTGTGAGTGGGGGAACCGCTATGTGAACCCAGGCTTTCTGACTCCATGTTTAACACAGCATGTATTTCAGCTCAAAACAGTAGTCATTTCCTCTCCATGAAACTTTAAATAGTGGCCAAGTTTTAATTAAAATAGAAATTCAAGACAACCTACAACTTCCCATCTTAAGCAGATGATGATTCACTCACCTGCTCTCAGCTCTAGGCAAGACTCTGACACACAGCTTAGCAAACTTCCTCAGATACACTTACTAACAATCTACTAAGTATGTATTACAGCTAAAGTGGCCAACAAAGAAAATATCTCAGTGCTCCCCCTCCCCCAACTACCGTGCTCTATAATTAAGCAAAAATCATGGAACCTTCCTGTTATCATATAAGGTTGATTCAGAAGAACAACAAACTGTCGGACAATCCATCTTGCAGGCTGGACAACACACCTTGACCTCGTAGCTAGACCTTCTGAGTAAGTTATTTGCAGAAAGACTTGCAATGTTAGAAAAATTATTTTTCTGGGCTCGGCGCCTGTGGCTCAAGTGGCTAGGGCGCCAGCCACATACACTGGAGCTGGCGGGTTCAAATGCAGCCCTGGCCTGCCAAACAATGACAACACAACAAAAAAATAGCCGAGCATTGTGGTGGGCACCTGTAATCCCAGCTACTTGGGAGGCTGAGGCAAGAGAATCGCTTAAGCCCAGGAGTTGTAGGTTGCTGTGAGCTGTGACACCACGGCACTGTACCCAGGGCGACAGCTTGAGACTCCGTCTCAAAAAAAAAAAAAAGAAAAAAAAGAAAATTATTTTTCTGTAAATATAACTTTAATGTAATTTGTGAAAATATAGCTTGCCCTGTCATAAACCTTATGGCAAAGAAACAGATATTTTAATAATATATTTAAAGAAACATTTATTTTTCATTATCAGTTTTGGCAGACCAAAAGAAATAAACTTTTATTGAAAAAAACAAAAGACAACTGGAATAGCTAATAATAGGATGACAGTCACCTGTCAGATTAAATAAGTAATTTTTAAAATTATATTTATAAAAAGTTGAGTACAATAGAAAATTAAAACTTTTTTTTTAATTTCAGGTTAAGGTGAGGGTACAAACAACCAGGTTTGTTTGATTGTGTTTGGTGATTTGATGTTGTTAGGTAGAGTCCCTCTTGTGGTTATGTCCCACACTCAAAAGGTGCCGAACACCCCCACCCTGGGCCCGTTCAGCAGGAGCACGCCACCCTCTTGTTACCCCTCCCCCCAACTTGAACTGAAATGAGTTTTTCTCTTACATGGGTGTGTATTAGATTGTCTACTGGCTTTGTGTTAGGACTGAGTACATTGGATACTTGCTTTTCCATTCTTGTGATACTTTACTAAGAGGAATGTGTTTCAGCTCCATCCAGGATAATACAAAGATGTAAGGTCACCATCTTTTCATGGCTGAATAGTATTCCATGGTGAGCATATACTACAACTTGTTAACCCATTCCTGAGTTGATGGGCATTTAGGTTGTTTGCACATCTTGGCAACTGCAAATTGAGCTGCGATAAACAATCTAATGCAAATGTCCTTATGATAAAATGATTTTTTTTTCTTCTAAGTAGATGCCTAGTAGTGGGATTGTGGGGCCAAATGGAGGTCTAATTTGAGTTCTTTGAGGATTCTCCATACTTAAATTAAAGCTTTTAACATAATGCTAACTCAAAAAGTCAGGATACTGTTTAGAACTCTAGAATGCAAGCAAAGAAATACTTTTCCTTTGCATTAAAGAAAGACCAGTCTGGTTCAGGTAAGCAGAGATATGAACAAACAAAAGCAGTAAAATTACAGTCGTCTGTTTGGGGCACACGAGACAAAGAGGGGATCAGTCAATTTTCTGGAGTAAACAGAGGGATGCCAGGAAAGGCTATAAGGCAGGGATGGTGCTAAGGGCAAGTCCTGAACAACTGGAAGTGGTGCTCACTCAGAGGTGAGAGAGGTCCCGAGGGGGCAGCAGGACACAGCCTGAGTTAAGGATAAAAACCAATCTGGGGCCAGTGGGCAGGGGCAGTTCTTTACTTCTGTATTTTAAAATCTGCTTCATATAAAAAAAAAACTAAGAATTTGAAAAGTCAAACAAAATAATTGTGCCTGTAATGGTTAGGATTAAGATGCATTGTTAATTTGTAACTTAGATGTCATGAAAACCAAAACCCCTGAAGCAAAAATCCTCAAGAGATACATAATCCCAAGGCTGAGATAGGCCTATCTAAAAAGAAATTTAACAAAACGCAGATACACAGTAAAACACTAAACAAGAAGCAGTATGAGCTTCTATACGCAAAGACAGACTTTTCCCTAAACAAGATTTCAACTTAGTGAATACACAGGCTGAAGGCCCATAAGCTACCTGTGCCTGTTTCAGTCCCTCCAAGAACACCCGCATGGCCTGCTACGTGTACCTGGGACACCACCATCAGATGGCAGGGCAGACCCTCTTCCTCCACGGCCAGCAGCGCAGGACTCCCTTCCTCACCCCACTCCCTCCCCAGAGACGGAGCTCTTCTACTCTGTCTCCCTGTTCCTACACCTCTCCTGCTCCCGCCTCCAGTACTCCTGCCAACCTCCTCCCAAACCCTTCCCTGCTCTACAGTAATCAGGCTATGTCCATCCTTCCCTGAAGGGCTCTGACAAAGGTCGCTGATTGCCCCCACACTGCAAAGGCCAATAGTCATTTATTAATTCTCCATTGGCTCCTTCATTCCTTCTTCCTTGTATCACCTGCAAGGCATGTAGATTCAAAGAACCACGAGCCTGGTCCCTGACCATGGTCTAGCAGTAGCAGACTGTCCTGTGAAGACATGAGTTCAGTAAATTTTCCAAGGTGCAAAGACAGAAGTCTGAATGAGGGCAGGGGACAAAAAGGCAGCATCGATCAACTTTATAGAGTGGAGAACAGAGCATCAGGGAAGGATTTGGGTGATGATGGAGTCAGGTATGCTGACCAGGAGGAGGAGAGGAGGGAGAGGAGGAAAAAACTACGATCCAGGGACTATCTGAGCAACAGGAACAGCAAGGTCCACTGCAGAAAGGAACGAAGCACTCAGTAAAGGGCCAGGGAAGACTCAGGGTGGGAGTGAGGGGTGAGGCCATGAGTCTGACTTCGTAAGATCTGTACAAGCCAAAGGCAGACAATGAGACAAAGAAAATACAAAATGAAGCAATGCCTGAGGTCGTTCCTAATACCCACGATGAGGTTCTGCACACTCACTAGAGATAAGTCATCATCTCTGAGCTTTGCAGCTTCAAAGGTAACGAAGGAAACATGACCGATTATGTGATTTATCACGCCCTTGAGATAAAAACTGACTAGCAGCTTAAAAATGAAACCTCAGTGACTTCTACAACTATGAACTGAGAGACATCAAATACTTGTAAGTGTGACAGAAAGACAAATCTCACATGGTCTCACTTACATGTAGGAGCTCATAGTAAAAACAACTGCTGATGTGGAAACAGAGAGGAGAATGATCTTAGGAGAGGCAGGGAAGGATAACGGGGAGGGATAAAGGAGGGATGGTCAATCTGTACAAATACACAGGCAGAATGAACAATGTATCTGACAGCACAACAAAGTGACTCTAAACAACAAGTGAGGGTGGAAGGGAATGTTTCTAACACAAAGAAATGGTAAATGCCTGAAGTGATGAAGGCCTCAGTGACCCTGCCTGGATGAATTCACACTGGATGCCTATACAAAACATTGTATGCACCCTACAAAGATATATAACTATTATGTACCCATAATATTTAAACATTAAAAAGTGTGTTTAAATACACGTAACATGAAATAGCTTGGTTTGCTTTCTTGGTAACACAGAACAACCTTAACAGGTTATACCTTCACAGCCTTGGTCACACCGGTCTGTCTGTCTCCAGTGTAATGCTGTTTCCTACGGAAGTCCACAGTTCTAGGATATTTAAATTCAAACATGTTTAGCTAAATACCAAAGAGGACACAGCCACTGTGGAGGTTTACTGATCGAAGTCAAAGCCCACCCACAGAACTAACTTTCACATGTCCCAGTAAAATAAATGAGTGCTAGATCTCAGTGCCTCTGAGGTGATAATTTAGTCTTACAACTGTGGGCTCATTCATTTGCCCACACACATCAAATGTGCCAAGACTTATCTACTAACCAATGATCCTGGGCAATTTATTATTGCCTTAATGGGAAGCATAAAGTAATAAGAAGAATATGCTTAATACCTCCCCTGTGCTGGT